CTGGAAATATAAGCGAGCCGAACACGAGCTGAGCTTGGGCTTGCTCGTGTTCGGCTCGTTTACACCCCTAATTCTTGTCCTTCTGCTCGTGCCGCGTTCACTTAGATTTATCGCGAAAAGAGCCTTGGACTTGTCATACTTGGTGCTTCCACTTCGTCTGTCGAAGTATCCACCTTAGTCTCTAATAAGGCTCAATCTCGAGTCGGTAACCCCACTTGGGATTACTGTCACAAATCCAACCACACTCGTGATAAATGTTGGAAGCTTCACGAGAAATTTGCATCCAAACCATCGGCCAAATCTTCCACAGCCAGGGATCTAGTTGCAACTTCTAAATCTGACACATTGCAGCCGGCTTCTACCCAGAACAATCTAGAATCATGCATTTCTCTTAAAGTCAAATCGAACACTTAATCAAGTTGCTTGGATCCAACCAACTCTCTTCTGTTCTATCTCCCATGCTCTTCAAGGTACCAATCCTATGATACTCACTTTTTTACTCCTTCTAGTGCATGAATCATTGATTCAAATCTCATGAACCACATGACTGAAAGCTCTTAAGCCTTCTCAACATATTATTCTTGCTAAAAAAAGTTACAGTTAAAATTGTTGATGGGTCCCAAAGTTACATTTCTGGTAAATGGTTTTTGGTTTTAGCAACAGGTCTAACTTTAAAATCTGTGTTACATGTACATCTGTTGAAGTATAACATTTTATTTGTCTGTAGGCTAGCATATGACATTGATTGCATTGTCAATTTTTTCTCTGATGCTCGTTTCTTTCAGGTTCGTCGTTCAGGGATGATGATTGGAACTGCTAAGCGGGTTGACAGGTTTATCTTCTTTCAAGAGCAAAGCATGGAGAACGAGGGCACCCCACTCAGTAGTTGTAGTTTATCTCAGTCCACTGAATGTCCTACTATTATATTGTCATTTCGGTCATCTTAATTTCCAGTATCTAAAACAATTATATATGTTGATGTTTGTTAATAAAAGTCTTCCTCTTAGTTAAATATCGTGTTCCTTATCCGCTCCACAATTACACACGTTTTTACTTTCCGTTTCTTTTTCTCTTATTCACATTGACTTATGGAGACCGTCTCGCACTCCTTGTTACACCAATAAACAGTGATTCCTTACTTTGATAGATGATCATACTCGGATGACATGAGTTTATATTTTAAAAGATAATTTCAAAGTTACCGTCATTTTCAAAATCTTCCACCTCTTATTCAAGTTCTTTGGACTGATAATTGTCATGAATTTTTTTACTCTATATTGGGAGAATTCTTCATAAGGACATTCTTCATTATAGCTCATGTAGCGACACTCTTTAAAAAAATGGGTTAGCCGAGAGAAAAAACCGGCATTTCCTTGATGTTACTTGCTTCATGATGTTCCACTTCAATGTCCCAAAATATTTCTGGAATGATTCCATTCTTACCGGCACTTTTCCATCAATAGATTTTCTTTAAAAATTCACAACTTTCTTACTTCTTTAGCCGTCTTGAGATCATGTTTTCCTAACAACCATGTCTTCTCCACTTTAAGTCTCAAACTTTTTGAGTGTACAACTTTTGTTCGGAATACGGCCCCAACTCAGAGTAAACTTTATCTCAGGTCCATAAAATGTGTTTTCCTCATATACTCTTTCATTTAAAAGGGGTATCAGTGCTTGACCCTAGCACAAATAAGGTTTGTGTGAGTGCTGATATCCTCTTTTTTGAAGGTATTCTCTACATTCCTAAATCGGTTTCAGTGAGAGAGAGAGCTAGAGTTCTTGAACACTGTATTTTTTCCTACTCTGAACCATATATTTCTTTGGTTCCGCCCATTTCTCATTCCGCCAGGGTGCCCTCTGCTCGTTTGGTTCCACCAGCACATCCTCCCACTCTCTGAATCCCTTCAGGACGACATCCCCAGCATTGCTCCTACTTCAAATGAGGAACTTCGTTCCTCTAGTAAAGTACACAATCAGACAGACTCTCTCTATCCCATGACAAACTGTCTCTTTTCGCAGATTATCACCAATCTACAGAGCATTTGCTACAACACTGACCAATCATCAACTTTCATCTACTACTAAGGCTGCATTAGCAAACCCAGCCTGGAAAGCTGCCATCATGGAGGAAATGAATGCCTTTCAGTGGAACCATACTGACATAGCTTTTCTTCCTCGAGGCAAGAAAGCAGTGGGATGCCGATGAATTTTTAGCATAAAGTTTAAGTCTGATGGATCATTTGAACGCAACAAGCCAAGGTTGGATGCAAAAGGGTACTCATAGAACTACAGAGTTGACTATGAGGAGACATTTGCTCCAGTTGCTAAATTAAACATCATTCGATTCCTCTTATCCCTTGTAATGAATCTGGATTAGCCCTTATTCCAGCTTGATGTCAAGAATGTGTTCTTGAATGACAATCTTACAGATAAGGTATATATGACTCTTTCTAGAGGTTTTGACTCCATTGCCTCCCAGGGGTAAGTATGTAGATTGTGAAAATCTCTTTATTGATTAAAGAAATCACCACAGGCCTGGTTCATAAAATTCACAAAGATGGTGATAGACCATGGATTTACTTAGGCTCAATCAGACCAATTCTCTTTTTCCAGCATTCTTCCAGCGGTCAGGTAGCCATCCATATTGTCTATGTTGACGATATTGTTCTCACAGGTAATGATCTACTAGCATTGGAGTTCCTGAAAGACATTTTTCCCTTTTTGAAATGAAGAACTTTGGATCTCTCCGGTACTTTTTAAGTGTGAAAGTTGCTCGGTCATCTCAGGGTATTTGTCTGTCTCGGCGAAAATATGCGATTGACCTTTTAACAGAAAATAATTTTCTCTTGTGCAAACCAGTGACTGTCCATTGAAAAATTTCTTGGTGTTCCCAATGCAGTTTCTATAAATAACACTCACTACCAGCGCCTTGTCGGAAAACTCATCTACCTTGCCCATACACGCTTCGACATATGCCACACAGTTGAGAGAATCAATCAATCTATGCATGATCCATATGAGCACCTCCTCAAGCTGTCCGTTGGATTCTCCACTATTTAAAAGGCACACCTGGCTCAGGTTTATTTTTTTCTCGCCACATCTCTCGTTCTATTGCAGTTTACATATACGCGGACTAGGTAAGGTCCGTCTATGATCGACGATCTACCTCGGGGTACTGCTCATTTGTAAGGGGAAATCTAGCATGGAAAAACAAGTAGTCTGTAGTTGCTTGTAGCAATGCACAAGTCAAATTTCAATATATGTCCCTGAGAATTTGTGAAGCTTGCTGGCTACACATCATATTTTATGAATTTTGTATGACAGTCTCCGCTCCCCTACTGTTATTCTGTGATAACAAGACTGACGTTAGCATTGCTCACAACCCAGTTCAACATGATCACACCAAGCATGTTAAGATTGACAGTCATTTCATTAAGGAAAAAAAAGCTTGAGTTCGGGAAAATTTGTGTTCCGTTTGTGTCATCTAGTGGCCCGCTGGTCGATATTTTCACGAAGAATCTTCCTTGACCGTTGTTCGATTAGTTCAAATCCAAGTTGAGCGTAATTGACATCTATGCTTCAACTTGAGGGGGAGTATTAGAATATTAGATTTGCAGAATTTTGTATTAATTGCTTTGATTTACTTTTATTTACTTGCCTTTTTCTCTTTTTTTCTGTTTTTATTTGTTTTCTTAATAGTTGATCCTGTAAGGGGTTGTTCCTGTAAGGGATATTTATATCCCTCTTTGCATCAATAAGATTCACCCTGATTTTATTCTAACAAGAAGCATCAAAACTTGATTCATTATTTAACATCCTTGCAAGAATAATTCATATTAGTCATTTCTATGGAAAAGAATCTTAAAACTGATTTTTTTCAAATTCCCTCCTTAAATATTGAAGCATTGAACGTTTCAGAATTCATCCTTCCATGTCTTCTACGTCATCAGAATTCATTCTTTTATTTATTTTTCAATCATACATCTAGTTATCAAATCAAGATCATTAACTTGATCTTCATAATAAAAAAATAGCATGATGCCTAGTTTTATGATACTTCAAGATATTAATCATTCATCAATTTACCCAAGTAACACCCAAATGATGTCTTAAGTAAATGATTAATCAATTTAATGATGTAGGAAAGCCCAAATCAGAGGACTTTTTCTTAGCATTTATAAAAACATAATTTGAACCATTGTAGCGGTACTTGTAGTAAGGTGAATTCTAAGCCATCTATTTCATCATGTTTGACCAGTGGTTAAATTTTTATGAAAATGATCAAATTAGACCACCAAATATTTTTTAATGTACCTTTCAAAAAATTTATTATTTTAAATGTTATTGAACGCTGCCAATACTCTTATTCTTGCATTTGAGGTTAGCAAAATGTCATCAATATAATTCTGAAGAGCGCTGGAACAAGTTGTTAATCGAGGGACTTAATTTGGTTTCGCCGGACGAACTCTACGCCGTCATCAAGAAGCGAATTGAACGAGTCTTGATTCGCACAGTTAAATCTTCTTATATGCTTAATCAGAAAAGTGTCAAAATAGTTTCCTAACTCTTTGCGTAGAAAAATGTTACATCAGGAGCCTAATGCATTTCTGCATCAGGACTATAGTGAAATTGTGCCACATGTCCGAAGGAGGCGGATCATACCTTGAAGTATAGAATTTTTTTTTATTTAGTGGATCCGTCGTGTGACATGGCGCCATTTCATTGGAGTCCTGGTGGAGACTCTTGATGTAATACTCTTTCCTTTGCATGGGATCATTTTTGCCCCAAAATCTATAAAACTGTCATTTTAATCTTCAAGACTCCTTTACTATGGGTTGAAATAGTTTACGCATAGGACTATTTCAGTGCCAATTTAGAGACTGAGAATTAATTGGACACTTTTATGGACTCTGGGACTAAAATGGCGCCATATAGGCAAGGGACTATTTTGTCACTTCACTCCTTTTTAATATTATGGTTCTTTCATGGCACCAGCTTAATTTTGCCCTCCTAATTCTTATCCTAGGAAGGAGGTTCCTACCAGCAGCGAATTCTGACAGAGTACCTTAAGGGCATCCAGTTGAGGACCGAGGAAGTTGTACAAGCCTTAAGAGGCTCACAACAATGAGATTCTTCATATGGGAATCATAATATAGGTATGATTTTTTCAATAAAACTGGTTAGTGTTATCTAATTAAACTATTTTTTCAGCTCAAGATTTAGGGCAGCTTTTTAATGCTTTGTTTTATAGACCTCTGCTACAGTTTTATTTGAGTACAAGTTTTGCCATTTATTAGACTTTTTTATGTTATAAGCAATTTTTTATAACCAGATGTATTGCGATCTCTCGATTGCGAGATCCCACAATCCTATGGAATTGGGGAAACCAAATAAGTTGTTTTCTCTTGATTGCCGATTTATGGGAGAATGCTTACCTTTTTTTTTTCTTATTTCTAATTAGGATTATTCTCTATTAGGACTATTTATACGTTATTATTTTTTAGTTTAGGAGACTTTTGAGATTTGTTTGTGTCGTAGAGATTGTATCTCTGATTTCTATCCTAAGTAGTAGGAACTGGTGGCTTACCTCCTCAACATCTGTAATGCACCGTTGTCCATCTCGTTGTTTTCAATCGGGACAGCTGCTGAATGTTGTCTAACCTCTACAAATATCGTCAATCGATCATGTATTTTTTCCCTCACTATTCCTCCACCACTTCCCCGTCATATCACAGAGTGTGTTTATGAGAAAGAAAATTAATGAAAAAAAAAGAAAAAGAAAAGTGTCCCTAATTCTTTGAAGAGAGACATTTTAGTCCCAGAGTTTACAACTTTTAATTTAGATTGAAAATATTTCCAATGAAAGAATATTTTAGCTCCAATTAAAAGTGTCTGGATAAGATAAATTATAACCACTGCTATAGTTTTGAAAAAACCTACTTTTACTACAACTTCACACTTTTATAGAAGCTGTAGCTTCCCATACCTACTTAGGAAGATTTTCACTGGCTTTCAGCCAGGAAAAGCTGAAATTTGACTCCAATCCTTTATTTTAAAAATAAGAAAAATTTGATTTTATTCGAATGCCACATATAAGCCAAATATTTTGTTCTAAAGTTTTGATGCAGTTTTGTTTTCTTGGTCTGCTATAAAATGCTTCAGCCATGACAAGGAGAAGAAACAGCAAAAAATTCAGCATTACTGTAGGAGCAGAACTTGTTCCTGCTCCAAGGTTTTTCATATTCGTCGATCTCACTCATGTTTTACAATCTCTAAACCTGGAGGAAATATTGCATCCACTCATGTAGATTGGTGGTATTCTGGTAGTATTGTGGTTGTATTACGGTACAATAC